TGGTATATTTTCACAAATTCGATGAAAAAAAACATTCTTGCCCTCTATTAAAGAGTTGGCATGCCTGATTCACATCAGTGTATTTACACCTTTATCTAAGCAACAATGATGAAGATATCTTCGGTTTTCTCTCTGTAACTTTGTTTAATTATGCCATTCAACAGAGAATCAAAAATTACCAATTTTCATTTTTCATTTTTGGCAAAGGTTTAAAAGACATCGAATGTAACTGTATCAATAGAAATTATGATTAACAGTAAAATGTTATTTCCAACTTATTTTTCCCTCCTTTTCAGGTACTCCTGACATTGACAGAGAAGGATAGAGAAGGAAGAAACTGAGTCGAAGTCCGACAGCGGAGGTAGAAAAATATAACATATTTTTATAATAATCCTACAAACCACCTTTACATTTAAAACAAGGGTGAATAACTAAACATTATTTAATTGTATACATCCTTACCACATTTCTTTTATTTCCTGCTTCAAACTAAAACTACTTTATTTTTAAATTGTTTCGCACATAATAATTTCTAAACCGTCCTTTTAAGATTTAAAATTTATTTTTACTTCTTACATTGTTGAGTATCAAAGCAGCGACTAAAAAGTTGGTTTCATTTAATTTTCAGTCCAGTATTTGTATTTCCTTGTAAGACATTTCCAACTACTTTGCTTAAGTTTTATTTTTAAAACTTTTAGTTTGTCTTGAAAATAGTTAGTCTATGGAATAATGTAAATTGTCTATTAAAAAGTTAGTCCATAAAACAGATTATTTATAAAAAAGTTTGTGTTTCGAACAGTTTATTCATAAAACACTTTGTTTATAAAACAGTTTGTTTATAAAACAGTTTGTTCATAAAACAATTCACCTAGAAAACAGGTTATCTATAGAATTCTGTGTTTTAAAAATCTTATTGTTTCCAAAACAAAATGAATTATTTTCTCCAATTTTTTTTTTTTTTTTCTAGGGATTCAGCGTACTGAGGAGCAAATAGATCAAATATTTGAGGAGATGGGAAATATGAAGATTCAATTTCAAGATATGAAGAAGCAAATGGAAGATGTTAAGGGTGAAGGGGAAGATACCAAGATTCAGTTGGAGAATACCAAAACTGAATTAAACGAGACCAAGATTCAGCTGGAAGATACCAAGATTCAGTTGGAGAATACCAAGACTGAATTCATTGAGACCAAGATTAAGTTGGAAGAGTCCAAGATTAAGATAGAAGAGACAAAGTCTCAGCTGAATGAGTCCAAGATTCAGCTGGAAGATACCAAGATTCAGTTGCAGATTACCAAGACTGAATTAAACGAGGCAAAGATTAAGTTTTAAGATACCAAGATTCAGCTGGAATATTCTAAGACTAAAAATTCCAAACTTGAGAAGAAATTAGCTGATATATACGAGAATACCAAAGACCCATGCAAAAACTGCAATGGGTCAACCTTCTGCCTGGATGGTCAATTTGTTTATATTACATCAAGGATAGGAACTAAGATCAGAGCAATAGAGGATACTACATACAAGTATTGCTTGGGTACTCAATGCCGGGTTCCTGCTTATGATACTGGAGTAGTAGAAAGTGTAGATCCCACATACGGACCCATCATCAAGTGGAACACATCAGGATATACCTGTAATTTTTTCTGCAGTAGATGTGTTTACAACTGTAAATAAATAACTGTAAGCAGCTAAAGCTTAATCCAGAATGCTAACTATCCACATTCAAATATACTGCATCTGATCTCTGACTTGGTAATAGTGTTAATAATACCATTATGGGATCTATTAGAGTTATATGTACTTTTTATGGTAAAAGATTAAGATTAAGATAAGTTTGCAAGTGTAATTAGTAATTAGTGTGGTTTTTTATTGCATTGTGGTGGAATTTGATCTTCGTTACCTTCTAGGATTCAAATCCTAAGTTTAGGAGTAATCTTTGTATTATGATTCCTTCCGCTACCTTCTAGGATTCAAATCCTAAGTTTAGGAGTAATGTTTGTATTATGATTCCTTCCGTTACCTTCTAGGATTCAAATCTTAAGTTTAGGAGTAATGTTTGTATTATGATTCCCTTCGTTACCTTCTAGGATTCAAATCCTAAGTTTAAGAGTAATGTTTGTATTATGATTCCCTCCGAGTGATAGAATTGTTCTCAGAAAAGTTTATGCTGAAGAAAAGATAAATATTTTTCAAAATCAGAAGTAACCGATCTTATTCTAAATATTCTCTCAGAAATATTCTCTCACTATTTTAATATTGTAATATTGTTAGGTTGTTAAAACTTTACTTTTGGCTTAAAAATCTTGAATTGATAAAGTTAATCCATGATCAACATTTAAACTTTTGAAAATTTCTTGTTAAGTATATCAGTAATATAAGCTGTTACAGGTTGCACTTTACAATCTTCTAAGATGTAAGTTTCCTTTCATATTGTGATGATAAATCTTATTTCGGTTGGATCTTTCAATTTGTTGTTATCTAATTTTTAATAGTTAATATTTTTCAGTTGTGTTCTATTCTGCAATAGTTCAATAAAATCTTTGTGCATAAATAATATTATATGTTTCAGATAAATATTGATTTATCTGACTTAAATACAGTTTAGAGAACCTTCAGGACTGTTCTAGAATATTCCTGGTAAGTTATATTTTAGAAACTGAGGGATTGTTAAACTTTGAGATAAGAATTAAACCTTTAAGTTTTTATTCCTTTTTTTTCTTACTTTTCCTATTAAAATTATATTTATGAACGTCTACGTCGATTTTAGTAGAACAAAGAATCTGATTCTAATTCCATATGGATATTTGTTTTTATGCAATTTTAAAAAGATGAAAAGTCTCTTAAAACTTTTGCTTTGGCACAAACTCAAATTTTTTAATCCCTACATATTTGCAACCTGATGGTGTAAACCTTTGATTTTTCAAACCTATACTTTGATAAATCAGAATTTATTGTGTTTTTTTTTATTAAAAGAAACTTTAACTTTACTCTAAACATCTTTTCTTTTATTATTAATTAATTGAAATTATGCAGTACAAACAGGAGCGCGTTCAGGGCTGGGGGGGGGAGGATTATTCCCCCCCCCTGAAGTTTTTCGGGTAATTATTGTTCCCATTGCAAAGTACAGAAAGAATCTTTTTTTAGGAAAGATAAGTGTTGTGTTTGTCCTTTGTTTCCCACTTAATAGAAAATTCCTCTTAGCGCTTCGCGCACCTTTGTTAAATTTCCCGTCTGATAAACTCCTATATTTTCAAATAGAATTTAAATCTCTTAAAAACTTGGAAAAGAAAAACTGACTTTTACCCCAAACTTGAATTTTCTAATCTTTATATTTCTGCAATCTGAAGGCGTAAACCTTTGATATTTCAAACTTAGATTTTATCTAACAGAATTCATAGTTTGAAATATCAAAGATCTACGACATTTGGTTGCAAAGATATAATGATGGAAAAATAAGAATTTGTGGCAAAGAAAGAATCAGTTCCTTAATACACACGTCCAAGGACGCAAGTCTTTATTTTCTGTAGCAATAAAAAATATAGATGGCGCCGTTACTAATTGAATGTTGTTAACATTATATTAAGACGGTAGTAACCAAAATACGATGGAATTGTCGTCTTCATCTTTTCTTTTAACCCTATCACGATTGGATGGGGGGGGGGTGTTTTCCACCTCCCTCCCCCTGTGACTTTTTCTGAATAACATAAAAAAGGCTTACATTAGAACGCTGACACTTCATTACTTTTTCAACATAATAGTTTTAAACAAATTTAGTATAATTTGATGCATAGGATAGGGCACTTAGGGCCAAAATGGCAATATAATGATTTGAAGATAGATAGATAGAAATTCTGCCCGGTGTCATGCTTGGAGAGAACTCGTACCTGGAGCTGACTCGTAATTACGAAGACGATCTTACTCTGGTTCTACGCGGGTTAAAGCTACGCGGCAAAGCGCAAGTTTATTTAAATATAAACAAAAACTTTGGATTTAGTTATTATAATATCTGCCATTTTCTATCTTAAAAACAGGTTATAATATCTTCAGTTATTTATCTTAAAAACAGGTTATAATATCTTCAGTTTTTTATCTTAAAAACAGGTTATAATATCTGCCATTTTCTATCTTAAAAACAGGTTATAATATCTTCAGTTTTTTATCTAAAAACAGGTTATAATATCTTCCATTTTCTATCTTAAAAACAGGTTATAATATCTTCCATTTTCTATCTTTAAAACAGGTTAATATCTGCCATTTTCTATCTTAAAAACAGGTTATAATATCTGCCATTTTCTATCTTAAAAACATGTTATAATATCTGCCATTTTCTATCTTAAAAACAGGTTATAATATCTTCAGTTTCAGTTGATATTTCAAACTTAGATTTTATCTTAAACATCAAATTCATAGTTTGAAATATAATAGATATACAACATTGGTTTGCAAAGATATAATGATTGAAAAATAAGAGTTTGTGTCAAAGATCAGTTCCTTAATACACACGCCTATGGACGCAATTCTTTTCTTTTTATATAACAATGACAAAATATTGCTGACGCCTTATTTATTTAATGTTACTTAATTCTTAGTGGTAACCATAATTCAATGGAATGATTGTTGTCTTCATTTTTTCTTTTAATTATGAATTATCACCGTGCTTTGTAAATTGTAAATTGTAAATTGTTTATTAATCTCTGTAAATGTTCAGGGCATGCATACAAATTACAAATTACAAAATATTAAGCTATGGGTCTGGTTTAAGGAAAGTATGAAGTATTACTGGTTACAACTGTAAAATTCTACAAATTATAGTGAATCAAACTTAGAATGAGATATCCTTAATCCCAATTACTTAATCTTGAGTATCCAATGGACACACTTTTGATTTTCTTCTTAAACCGTTCTTTCTGGGATATTATAGAGAAACATCAAGTAAAGTCCCTCCAGCTTCTGTATATAATCTTATACGGCGCGCAAAATTTCAAATTTATCGGCTTCATATACGCGACTCTGATTGGTTGAATTTTATACACTTTTCAGGAAACAAGGACACGATTAGGTTAATCTTGATGTTAAGAAAAAGAGAGGATTAAACATTAATCTCAATATCCACCATTCCAAAGTTTTCAGTTCAGGCTTTTAGGGCGCTTTACGGATTTCATGATAAGATTTCATGGATTTTCTAAATTTCTAAATTTTTAAAAATTTAATGAAAATCGAACTTTGATGAAGACTAATTTTTGAAAATTTGATTGTCCATAAATCATAATCTTAATTTTTCAAGAATAGAACTTATTTAAAAAAGGTGGGGGGGGGGGTGCAACTGCAAATTCGTCACTGCAGCCCCCTTTTTAGAAGAAAGTGGGGTGAAACCTGACCCCTTGCACCTGGTTACGGGCCTGATCGGGTTGCAAAGATTTAGAAATAAGAAAATAAGAATTTGTGGCAAAAAATCATCTTCTTTAAAAAGAGAAATTGTAGACTGATTCTTTCCCCTCTTAACGTTAATTTTCAAGGTACCCCTGACAACCTGAACAGTGGACATGAGTTCCTCAAGCCTGAAAATATTCTCTGACGCTCTAGAAGAAGCCACTAAACTAGAGAATCGTGGAACTAAGAGGAAATTCGACAGTGGAGGTATTATAATAGAATAATTATTTTCATAATAAACCTATAAAACCACCTTGAAATTTAAAACTTTGAAGCAAAAACTTAGTGATTATAATAATATTATCTATTCAAAATCCTATTTTTCATTTCTTACTATTTTAGTTTTGAGACTACGGATATCTTTGAGCTGAATTTTTGAATATTCTTGTGGAAAATATAAAAATAATGGAATTTGATGGATTTACATGAGCTTTAATCTCCTTGACATGAAATATGTCAAACCAACTTCACCTTATATACGGATCTAGAACAGTTTGTGTTAAAAATAGTTTTTTTTATTATTATTATCATTTTGTTTATTAAACAGTCGTCCATAGAAATGTATTTATTAAATAGTTTGTCTATCAAACCAGAAAACTCTGGAATTAGGAGGACTCAAGTTGTGACTTTAAGTAGTACAATAAAGACACAGGAATTGTGCAGTGTGAACAGATTCATTTTACTGAACAAGGGATTTAATAAGTCACTTGTAAACTTGTTGCTTTGTTACAACATCAAATACACTTATTTATTACTTTTATGTTGTTTTCCTATCCCGCAGTTTATTGTTCTCATCGTATAAATTAGATTAGATAAAAATAGTTTATTAGTCTTTTGAGTTTAAACAGTTTGATCAACAACTTGTCTATAAAATAAATACATACCCTTGTCCATAGGACAAGACAATTTTGCGTATATTTCAAAGACATTAAAATCTGGGAAGAGGATAAAAACATGGGAAAGAAAAAGGCTATGGATTTTTTATTTTCATTTTTTTCAGATAAAATCATCTAGTTTTCTTTATATTTATGTTATTATCTAGGGGTTCAGCGTACTGAGGAGCAAATGGAAGATGTGAAGGGTCAGATGGAAGATACAAAGATACAGTTGGAGAATACCAAGACTGAATTGAACGAGACAAAGATTAAGTTTGAAGATACCAAGATTCAGTTGGAAGATACCAAGATTCAGTTGGAGAATACCAAGACCGAATTAAACGAGACCAAGATTCAATTGGAAGATACCAAGATTCAGTTGGAATATTCTAAGACTAAAACTTCCAAACTTGAGAAGAAAATAGCGGATATATACGAGTATACTAAAGACCCCTGCAAAAACTGCAATGGGTCAACCTTCTGCCTGGATGGTCAAGTTGTTCGTAATACATCAAGGAAAGGAACCAAGATCAGAGCACTAAAGGATACTACATACCAAGATTTATTGGGTACTCAATACCGGGTTCCTGCTAATGATACTGGAGTAGTAGAAAGTGTAGAAAGGGTATATCCCACATACAAACCCATCGTCAAGTGGAACACATATGGAAATTATAAATTCCGTGGTTCCTTCAGTGGATGTGTCTACAACTGCAAATAAATAACTGTAAGCAGCTGAAGCTTAACCCAGAATGCTAACTATCTACATTCAAATATACTGCATCTGATCTCTGACTTGGTAATAGTGTTAATAATACCATTNAGTTTGCAAGTGTAATTAGTAATTAGTGTGGTTTTTTATTGCTTTGTGGTGGAATTTGATCTTCGTTACCTTCTAGGATTCAAATCCTAAGTTTAAGAGTAATGTTTGTATTATAATTCCCTTCGTTACCTTCTAGCATTCAAATCCTAAGTTTAGGAGTAATGTTTGTATTATGATTCCCTTCGTTACCTTCTAGGATTCAAATCTTAAGTTTAGGAGTAATGTTTGTATTCAATATTGTTTCTTGAGCTAAGAATTTATATGTCACAAGAACTGTCAAGATTTAGTGTGATTTTTTATTGCATTTTGGTGGAATTTGATCTTTGTTACCTTCTAGGATTCAAATCCTAAGTTTAGGAGTAATGTTTGTATTATAATTCCCTCCGAGTGATAGAATTGTTCTCAGAAAAGTTTATGCTGAAGAAAAGTTAAATATTTTTCAAAATCAGAAGTAACCGATCTTATTCTAAATATTCTATCAGAAATATTCTCTCTCTATTTTAATATTGTAATATTGTTATATTGTTAAAACTTTTGGCTTAAAAATCTTAAATTGATTAAAGTTGATCTATGATCAACATTTAAACTTTTGAAAATTTCTTGTTAAGTATATTAGTAATATAAGCTGTACAGGTTGCACTTTTCAATCTTCTAAGATGTAAGTTTCCTTTCATATTGTGATGATAAATCTTATTTCGGTTGGATCTTTCAAATGTGTTAACTATTCTGCAATAGTTTAAAAAAATCTTTGTGCATAAATCATATTGTATGTTTCAGATAAATATTGATATATCAGACTTAAATACAGTTTAAAGAACCTTTAGGACTGTTCTAGAATATTTCTGGTAAGTTTTATTTTATTTTATTCAGGAATTGTTAAATTTCAGATAAGTAATTTAATATCAAGCTTTTATTCATTTTCTCATACTTTTCCAATAAAATTTTATTCATTTTAACTTATGCGTCGATTTAAATATAACAAAGAAACTGATTTTTTGCCACAAATTCAACTTTTCTAATCCCTATATCATTGCAACCTAATGCCATTTTAACATTAATTCAACATTTAACATTAATTCATAGTTTGAAATATCAAAGGTTTTTGAAATCGGGTTGAAAATATTAAGGAATTAATAGTTTGTGGCAAAAACTCGTTTCCTTTTTTTGGTTTTTAGTTTTTTAAGGGACAGTCAATTGTGAATGTGATTTTGAATTTTAATGAGTTGTGTGTACAACAGCATATTACACATTTATGAAAACAACCAAGATATCTTCGGTTTTCTATCTTAAAAACAGGTTAATACCTGCCACTTTCCTTTTTCCATCATTCAATTCTACAGAGAAAAACAAGAATATTGTTATAATTTTAAAATTTTGTGGCTCTTATTGCTAAATTAAGAAAGAATTTTTTATAAAAAGATAAGTGTTGTAAATACTAGTCTAAACACCTTTACTTTCATTATTAATTTATTGAAATGATGCAGTTAAAACAGGAGCGGGTTCAGGTGTGTGGGGGGACTTATTTTCCCCCCCTAGAGCTGTTGGGGATAATAATTGTTCCATTGCAAAGTAAAAAAAGGAAAAATAAAAGAAAGATAATTGTTGTTTTTGTCCTTTGTTTCCCACTGTTACTGAGAAAAATCCTCTAAACGATTTTGTCTGATAAATCAGTGTTAATTACTTTACGATCCGGGTTGAATGTTGCAACTTTTCGATATTGTATGGACGCTACGCTCTTCGGTATGAGTCGTTTTTAACAATTTTCTCCTCACAGACACATGAGATAGAAGTAAGATTAACAGCGATCAAAAGTGCTTATTTTATGCCGTGAGTACCCCATTTCAATTTTCGCGAATACTACCTTTAAACCTTCAAGTTTTTATTCCAGTTTTTCTTACTTTTCCTTTTAAATTATATTTATTTTAACGTTTACCTCGATTCTACATAGTAGAACAAAGACACACTGATTCTAACTTCACATTTATTTTTGTTTTTACTGATGGGTGTGACTTCCTTGCATTTTTAAAATAGATGAATAAAATCTCGTAAAAGCTTTGTAATAGAACTGAGTTTTTCCTTTGTAGTCCTTTTTAATGAATTTAATTCTGAACAAAATTCTTAAAATTTCCTGTTAAATTAAAAGCTCAAAAACAGGCAGACCACATTTACGAAATGCCAGGACTAGGGGTAACTTATCAAAATTGTTTCTAGACACGGTAAACACGTTAAATATGTTGACAAACAACTGCCGCATATTATTTCTAAGATTAAAGACGATATTAAAGCTTTTTCTTCACTGTCATGTATAGTGGGACACGAAGACTTTCATTCAGTTTTAGACAATGTTGGTTTTACTAGAGAATCGTGGAACTAAGAGGAAATTCGACAGTGGAGGTATTACTATAGAATAATCTTAATTATTTTCATAATAAACCTATAAAACCACCTTGAAATTTAAAACTTTGAAGCAAAAACTTAATGATTATAGTAATATTCAAAATACATTTTAGTTTTGAGACTACGGATTTCTTGGAGCTGAATTTTTTAATAGTCTTATGGAAAATATAAAAATAATGGAATTTGATGTATTTACATGAGCTTTAATCTCTTTGACATGAAATATGTCAAACCAACTTCACCTTATATACGGATCTAGAGCAGTTTGTGTTAAAAATAGTTTTTTTATTAGTATTTTCATTTTGTTTATTTAACAGTCGTCCATAGAAATGGGTTTATTTAATAGTTTGTCTATCAAACCAGAAAACTCCGGAATAAGGAGGACTAAAGTTGTGACTTTAAGTAGTACAATAAGACACAGGAATTGTGCAGTGTGAACAGATTCATTTCACTGAACAAGGGATTTAATAAGTCACTAGTAAACTTGTTGCTTTGTTACAACATCAAATACACTTATTTATTACTTTTATGTTGTTTTCCTATCCCGCAGTTTTCTGGTTCTCATCGTATAAATTAGATTAGATAAAAAATAGTTTATTAGTCTTATGTGTTTAAACAGTTTGATCAACAACTTGTCTTAAAAATAAATACATACCCTTGTCCATAGGACAAGACAATTTTGCGTATATTTCAAAGACATCAAAATCTGAGAACAGGATAAAAACATGGCTATGGATTTTTTTCTTATTTATTTTTTCACATAAAATCATCTAGTTTTCTTTATATTTATGTTATAATTTAGGAATTCAGCGTACTGAGGAGCAATTGGATCAAATATATGAGGAGATGGGAAATATAAGGATTCAGTTTCAAGATATGAAGAAGCAAATGGAAGATGTCAAGGGTCAGGGGGAAGATACCAAGATTCAGTTGGAGAATACCAAGACTGAATTGAACGAGACAAAGATTAAGTTGGAAGGTACCAAGATTCAGCTAAAAGAATCCAAGATTCAGTTGGATGAGACCAAGATTCAGCTGGAAGAATCCAAGATTCAGTTGGATGAGACCAAGATTCAGCTGGAAGAATCCAAGATTAAGATAGAAGAGACAAAGTCTCAGCTGAATGAGTCCAAGATTCAATTGGAAGATACCAAGATTCAGTTGGAGAATACCAAGACTGAATTAAACAAGACCAAGATTAAGTTTGAAGATACCAAGATTCAGCTGGAAGAGTCCGAGATTCAGTCGGAAGAGACCAATATTAAGTTGGAAGAGTCCAAGATTAAGATAGAAGAGACCAAGTCTCAACTGGATGAGTCCAAGATTCAATTGGAAGATACCAAGATTCAGCTGGAATATTCTAAGACTAAAACTTCCAAACTTGAGAAGAAATTAGCGGATATATATGAGTATAATACCAAAGGCCCATGCAAAAACTGCAATGGGTCAACCTTCTGCCTGGATGGTCAAGTTGTTCGTAATACACCAGGGAAAGGAACCAAGATCAGAGCACTAAAGGATACTACATACAAAGATTGCTTGGGTACTCAATACCGGGTTCCTGCTAATGATACTGGAGTAGTATATAGTGTATATCCAACATACAAACCCATCATCAAGTGGAACACATCAGGATATAACTATGGTTTCAATGGATTCAGTGGATGTGTTTACAACTGTAAATAAATAACTGTAAGCAGCTGAAGCTTAACCCAGAATGCTAACTATCCACATTCAAATATACTGCATCTGATCTCCGACTTGGTAATAATGTTAATAATGTCATTATGGGATCTATTGTCATAAGAATTATATGTACTTTTTATGGTAAAAGTAATTAGTGTGGTTTTTTATTGCATTTTGGTGGAATTTGAGCTCCGTACCTTCTAGGATTCAAATCCTAAGTTTAGGAGTAATGTTTGTATTATGATTCCCTCCGTTACCTTCTAGGATTCAAATCCTAAGTTTAGGAGTTATGTTTGTTTTATGATTCCCTCCGTTAC